TATGATCAATGAAGGCTGCACGAGTACCAAGATCTATATGCAGTTTCTTACATGCCCTGGAAGTATGAATTTCTCTAGCTCATGTGCACATTTTTTCCTCTAAACCTGAAGCTCTAGCAGTCACAACACCAGTGACACAAAGCATCGCATTTAAAACCACTGCCTCTGGATACACTCCTAAAATTTTTAATCTCTGTTAGGTGGCAAAAGCCTTAATCATTACAAAGAGAAACAGCAAGAGCCTGTACCACACACTGCAGGTTCACACAAATAACCCCTGAGCAAGAACTGGGAACTCGGGCACACTCCCTCTGCACGAGCCAACCACTTTGGTGAGACGCGTGGGTGGGGGGCACTGGGAGCACAGCTCAGCATTTGGGAGCATGGAAAGCCATGGCACAAAAGCAACCACATTTAACCTACCATTCCTGTCTAACCACTCCATTCCTCCTTTCCCCTCACACCAGTTCAGCCTGGAATTAAAATAAACTTATACCAGTGCTAGCAAAAGGGAAAAGTTTTCTGTCATGTTAAGTGAGTTAAATTGGCTCACAGAAGCATCTCCTGAGTGTGCTCACTCCCTGTTGTGAGACCACAGCTCTACCCTACATTAGGGGAGCTCAGACATAAATTCAATCAGCAACTTTAGCCAAGGTACCAGGTAAGTAGCTTTCAGTTCAGCTGACAGCTATGAAGTTGAATGCTTTCCCCTATACATGTGCAAGCCTCCAAAAATTGCATCTTTCACAGTCTGTAAAACAATAAGAAGGAATGCCTTTTAGTCATAATGTAAAAAGATAAGAAATCCAAGAATATATGCAACATAGCAATCTGTTTTTAGTGAGTCTTGTCTGCATGCTCCAACAGCCCCATGAACCCTTGCAACTCACTGACATGGCAAAAAACTTAAAAGAGTTTGTAAATTAATCTGATCAGTTAAGACCCTGACCAAAGACAGACATGATGCAAGGAGAAGGAAGCAACAGTGTGTGTAAGGGCAAGGGGAGAAAGATCTTTAAAAGCCTTTCTTGCAACAGAGGGAGCTGTGGTGCTACAGGGTTTTGTCTTGTAAGTCTTGGTAGTCCATGAACCACTTCTAAAATGGAATCTGTAGAGCAATATGAGAACTAGAGGGGTCGTACACCATTAAGCTGACTGAATTTGGCAACTCCACACTTTCCCTAGAAAGTGTCAGAAGTCTGCTATTGAAGTGTTTTGACCATCCACCACTGTTATCATGAAATGATATTCAAGCTCACAGGAGCTGAGCTCTGCCATAAATTAAATCCCAGTTATTTAACTTGCAACTTGTAACATTTTCCACTTTCTGCAAACTCACTTGACTCAGTTTATCAACACAAGCCAAGTGTCCTACACCTGTTCCAACATTTTCCAAGATGGTGGTTTAGTTTACAGCCTATTCATCCTTCCGAGAAAAGAAAAACAGAGGTGCTCTTTCAGTCCGAGATGAAACAATCAAGAACACATTGACACATCAGGGAGGATATTTGATTTAATTATGGGTAAGACTAAAATAAAATCTTTCCAAGTCCCCCGTCTAGTTGGTTTTTAGAACAATAACATCTAGTTGCTACTGTAGCATTGATAGCACTGCACGCACAAAAAATGCCAGACGGAAGAAAATTATCAGGGTTGTAGCATGGTTACTTTTGTAGAATGCTTCAAAACATCTGAAATTAAGCATTTTACATCAGACAGTGAGGTTCCCAGTAGTAAACCACAAGACTGGATTTCAACAGAAGTGCTACGACAAAGAATTGGCTTTTGCTTCCCCCTCACCCCACAACAGTTTTGTTCACCTTCTTTCATGCATCACTGTAGTATCTGCTATCCTGAAAGCAATGTTCAGGGTTCCACTCTCTAATGTCTGCCACTACTGTAACAGTCAATATTCTCTGTTTCAGAGACTGTTATGTACTCATAGCACACAACAGGAGTCAACAGCTCAACCAATACCAGAACCATCATCTCCACTAAAAAGAGACTACACGCCAGACACATCCCAGTTAAGAGCTGAAATCTGCATTTCTCTGCATAAAGAGGATGAGCAACTACACTGATCTTGTCTGGCAAATGTGTATGTGTAGTCTTGTTTTGAGACTTGGAACACCCAGCAAGTCACCACCCACGGTGCTATTTCCCTTCTCACTCGAGGGAGTCTAAAAACGGAGGTGGAATGAGGGAAAATTATGGGGAACGGACAGTGATTCCCAGAAGGAGGGCTGGAAAGACCAGAGAGGAACAGGATGAAAGGTAACAAATGAGTAGCAATATTAGGACAGGAGTATCATGTTCTAGGCAAGGAGGCACAAAATAAGGGAGGAGCCAACAACTTTTGTGCAGAAAAACCTCAGGGATGGGGTCAAACTCCTTAGAACAGGGTAAGGAGGATCTATCCTGGGGAAGGAGAACTCTGCATTTAAGAGAATTATTCTTCCAGCAGCTTGCAGATGAGATCTGCCTATGCCCAAACCTTACCTGCATGAATTAATCAGAGGGAATATCCTGCCCACCAGCTTTTCTCACATACTGAGCAGAACCCGGGTTTTTAACTACTAATATTAAAGTTTCAGGCTACCATTCCTGCCTTGCATTTTAGGTTTGTTTTTACACTATTAGCCCAACAAAGTGCCTAAGTGATGCACTAAGTACTCTCCTGGAAGGCTGCCTTTCTATTATCGTTCCTTTTATGAGGCTGTAAATAGCATTCTTAAACAAGCAATAACCCTCACAGTTTTGCAGCCACCCTTTCTCAGAAAAAAAAAAAAAAGTTGTACACCTCACCCATATTTTTAGCCAAAGTGATAAAGATTTACAGGACAAACTGTTCCCAACAGTCAGACTATCCCAAACAATTCCTCTCGAGTGAATAATAAATACTTGCAAATACTGATCAGGCACACCCGCATTAAGGAGCCACCAAAACGCACTAATCAAGAACAGTAGTAGATCATTAATTTGCAGAATAAAAGCCTTTCTCAACAGGAGCTGAAGGCTTGAAAATACTTAGTTGTTTTAAAACAATTTCTAGGTCTACAGGACACAGGAACACCCAAACCCAATTCTTTTAAGAAGTGTACTCTGTTCAGAGTGCACTGATGAAAGTAAAATTACTTATGTCAAATAAACTAAGCTTTTTCAGAAGTTATTTCTAGAAAATCCATACAGTTTAAGCAAGGCTAGAATACCTTTGTTCCCTTTGCAATTTAAGATTTTAAGTCCACAAAATACCTTGGAGCTCCTATCCCAGCTACTCTTTTACTCAGTGGATTCAGAATACATTGCATTAGAAGCTGGATATTCTATATTATGGCCAAAAGCCCTGAATTGTTTCATTTTACACACTTGGAAAAGAACTTTCATCCTACTGAGAACACAAAACCTAGCAGCTTTCTAGCCTGTACCACAAAACCGAGGTTATACTCCAAAATGAATGCAGAAAGATGTTTTTTTTTCTAGTGTCTTAAGAACATGCCTCATTTCAGTCTAGCATTCAGTATTACACAAGTGCTTTAGGAAAGCCACTCTCAGGGAGATGCTGAGATACCACAAAAAGCTGTAAGCAGCTCAGCTGCCAAAATGTTTCTGGGCTGCTTTTCTTTTTGTTAACAACTTGATTGTTCCTCAATCACACTTCATGCCCCCCAAATGTCATTTTAAGGTCTTTCTTTTCCCACAGAATTCATACGGTCTGTCCTCTGCAACTTTAAGAAACACAAAATGCCAGACCTTTCCAGAATTATTTCATACCTACAGCAACATTAGAGGAGGTACAAAAAGTGTCCCTGAAAACTGAAGACAAAGGCATCACCACATTTCCCTGGGCAAAATGCCTTCGTTTATCAGTTAAGCAAGCATCCCACAGGAAGCTCTTGTACCACCCCTGTCCTCAGGCAGGTTTTCCCTGAAGCCCCTTGTGCTGTCCAATTTCATCTTGGGAGGAAACTACCTCCAACACCAGTTACTGGAAAATTCCAGCAAAATCCCCCCGCGTTGACCCCCAAAGCAAAAGGGGAAAGGCAGCAGATCGCCATTTTCCAGCTTCAAACGAAAAATCAAGTTTCAAGCTATCACAGCAAGAAACTATCCCAATGAAACTTAAGACACTTTCAAGTACATTTTGAAGAAGCCACTGCCTCTTTTAAGATCTATGAAACAATACTTAGGGTCACCAGAATCAAAACTTGCAAAGCCAAAGCGTTTTAAATTAACACCACGTAAAGCAAGTTCCTGTTTTTGCATCAGTAGATGCTTGCCACCACAGAAGCAGACAAGATGTTAACCAAGAGCAGTAGATGTAGCTGACATTTGCAAGCGTGAGTATCTCTGCTAACTTTTTTACTGCCTTTTATTTATTTATAATTCATTAATCAAAAAGGCGTCTTTTTCTCAACACAGTTATCTTCCTTCCCTATTCATTCGTTTTTCTTCCTCCAGCGGGTTACACGCCGAACACGGCTGTGCAAAGCGGACTCCACAAACCAGTTTAACTCAGCATCGGGACTCTGGGGGACCCCAAACCTTTTTCCCTTGCATCTCCACGGCCCCGCCACCCCACGGTACGCGCCGGACGAGCCGCTCTGAGGGACACAGCGCCCGCAGCAGCCCAGAGCTCCCGCTGCAAGCCGTTCACGGGCACACCGGGGCTCCGCCGGCCGCCTCCGGGGACAGCAGGTCCCGCACCTCGCGGAGGGGCCCCCCGGCTCACCTCCTCTTCCTCCTCCTCCCGGGCGGCGGCGCGGAGCAGCGCCCGGTGCGAGCGGGGCGCGCCCGGGACGCCGCCGCCTCTCCGCACGCCCTCCCCCGGTGTGTCGGCGGCTCCCGCGCCGCGCTCCGGCCGCTGCCGGGGCGGCGCTGCCCCCGTCCCCACAGCCCCGCCGCCCCCCGGCAGCCGGCGATGCGGGCGGGGGCCCTCTGGCGCCGGCTAGGGCCGGGAGCGCAGCCGCCCCTTCCCTCCCTGCTTCCCTGCCTGCGCTCACCTCGTCGTCGTGGTGCTGGCAGTAGCTGGCCCGGTCGGGGAAGACAGAGAGGATGTTGTACGGCGAGGCGGGGTAGGGCGGGCTGAGGGCGAGCGGCGCGGCGGGGCCGGCGGCGGCGGGGCCGGCGGCGAAGCGCTCGATGAAGTGGTCCTTGGTGAGGCGGACGCGCTGGTGCGCCCGCACGCAGTTGTCGCACAGGTGCTCCTGGCAGTCGAGGCAGCGGGAGCTGGCGGCGTTGCCCTCGTCGCAGGAGCTGCAGCGGGGCTCGCCCTGCCGGCTGTGGGGCCGCCGCAGCAGGAGCGCCGCCGAGCCGCCGCCGCCCGAGGAGGAGGACGACGACGACGTCGAGGAGGACGCGGCCGAGGCGGCGGCGGCGGGCGAGGAGCCGGCGGCGCGGGGCGGCCCCGGCGGCGGGCGGCCGTGGTGCCGGTTGTTGCCGCCGCCGCCGCCCGAGCCCGCGGCGGGGCCGGTCCCGGCGGCGCGGCCGTTCTTCTGCTCGTCGGCGGCGGCCGCCACGACGACGACGTCCAGCAGGTTGCTGAGGAGGAAGTTGGAGGAGGGCAGCGCGTCCATGCCCGAGGGCTCCGAGATCACCACCTTCTGGTCGCAGATGGGGCAGCGCAGCTTGAGCGCGTCCCCCGCGCCGGGGTGCCGCTGCGCCTCCAGGCACTGGCGGCAGAAGGCGTGCAGGCAGGGCAGGACGTGGAGCCGCCGCGGCGGGCCCCCGCAGGAGGAGCCGCCGCCGCCCCCGGAGGAACTGGAGGTCTGCGAGGAGGACGAGGAGGTGGAGGAGTTGGACGAGAGGGGAGCCGGCGAGCCGCACATCTCCTTGCACAGCGGGCAGATCTGGAAGTCGGACTCGGGAAACGAAGCCATTTGCGATAGGCCTGACTCCCCGATGGGGGGCAAAAACGTGTCTCTCCTCCCTCAAAAAAAAAAAAAAAAAAAAAAAAGAAAGAAAAAAAAAAGGCCAAAAAAAAAAAAGCGTGGGCGGAAAAGCAGAGGCGCGGGGAGAAGGTAGTTCTGCAAGCAGCTTACGAGCAAGCTGGCATCGATCAGTCGTTTTGCCAAGTGGGATCGATGGGCCGGTTTTGCAAATACGGTGTCATCGATCCGGCGGTCTGCAGGGAGCTGGGTCCTCTCCTCGTACCTCGCTGCTGCCGGGCTGGCTGCTGCGGGGAGGGGGGAGTATTTTTGGTATCAAGGTGTAGCTGTCCCGTTCTCCCTCAGTAAATGGATCCTCTCGTCCCTCTCATGTACTTAACCCCCGATCCCCCGTTGCATTAGACAAATTGTATCGATTCCCCGATCGGTCAATACCTCACACAGTCTTCTCATCTCCCCCTCGGGTCAGCAGTTTGACAACGTGGTTTGGTTACTTGTCCTCTTCCTCAACGGAAAGTGCATGGGCGCCGACCGCTCGATCCCCGCGCATCCAGCGGGGACCGAACTCTGTCCGCCGGGGCTCGGCTCCGGTTCCCACGGCCGCAGAACCGGGTCGGGGCGGCAGTGCAAGTCCCTCTCGGCCGGGCGGGCGGGGGGCAGCAGGGGCTTAACTCAAGTTTCGCTCTTTCTTCTTGGGGCGTTGGTTTTTTTCCTCTTTTCCTTTAAACCTGTGCTTGTCGGGGGGGAAGGGGAAATTTCGTTTCAGTTCCCCCCTCCACTTTTGCAATCCAGAGCAGCTCTAGGAGAGAGAGAGGCACTGAAATACAGTGGCCAGGCAGACTTCTCCGGCTCCAGTCTTCCCCCGCCGACGCCTGCTCCACCACCGCATGACTGGGGGGTGGGGATGGAGGGCGGCGTTGGTGCCCACCCCACCGGCACAGACTCACGCTGGCGGGACGCGGAGGAGGAGATGGGAAAAATAAAAGGGCTCCGAGGACGGCCGAGAAGAGCAGTCCTCTCTCTCGCCTCTCCGAGTCCCGGCTCCCGCCGGACGCCTTCCTTTGCGCGGGGCTTCCCGCGGAGGGCAGCGCCGAGCCCGCAGCAGCCCCGCACACGCGGTACCGGCGGCTCGGGCGGCCGGTCAGCGCCGCGGGCTCGGCGCGGCTCGCACAGGCTGCGGCGGCCGGGCAGAGGAGCAGCGGCAGGTCCCCGCCGGCCGCCCTGAATTATTCATGGGGGGTGTATTATATTCGCTCGCACAAATTGGAGCCGCTGTGCAATGCTATCCGAGAGCGCTACGCTCGCCCCCTCCTCCTCCTCCTCCTCCTCCTCTCCGGTTCTCTCTCGCTCTGAGCCCCTGCAGCGCCTAGGATCACATTTCCTTTGTCATCTCGCCTCTTCGCGTGGTGTTTTATTGAGAAAACAAAAATAATATAAAACCCGAAGAAGAGGCGAGAGGAGGGGGGGCGGCGGGAGGAAAGCAGCGAAAACCAAAACGCCCGCCTCCCCCGCGATCTGCCGAGCCGGAGCCCACCGGCCTCGGGGGGTAAATTAGCAGGAATTACTCACTGATGCGGCAGCGCCGTCCCAGGCGGCGTGGGATCCGGGGAGAGCCATCGCGCCGGGCGCCTTCCCCGCCGGGCGGGGTGCGGAGGGCGGCCCCGGGGGGGGCGCGGGGCTGGCGGCGGCGCTGGCTCCGGCCCCGCTGCGGCCGCCGGCACTGGGGCGGCGCGGCGTGCGGGAGCCTTTTAAGCTCCGACGGCGCGGGCTGACTTCCGCCCGGCTGCGGGGGGCGGCCGGGGGGCGGCGGCGGCGGGCAGGAAACATTCGCCCTCCTCCGGCCCGACCTGCCCCCATCCGCCCGCATCCAGCCCCCTCGGCCCACCCCCCATCTTGCAACGCCGCCGGTCTGAGCGCCGGGGACCCCCCGAGCTCCGCGGGTGTGACGCGCCGCCGCTCGGGCGGTCCGCCAGACCCTCGCGCCCTTTTCGGGTTTGGGATGCGAGCGGGGCTTCGGGGCCGTTCTTTGAAAGCACCGAGGCGTTAATGCAGCTTTAAACATTGTCTCTCGAGTAATCGAGCGTTTTCCCTTTTTCTAACGCCCAGTCTAGGGGTGACGGGCTCCTCTCCGCGCTCTTGCGGTTGCCGCCGGGTGTGCCGTGCCCGGGCGGGCGAGCCCGGGGGGGTTTGCTTGTTGGCAGGGGCAGACGCTTCCTCTCCTTCAAAGCGACGCATTGGACTTAGCGAAAATTAGCTGGGATGCCATTTGCGCTGCTGCGAGACCGCACTTAAAAATCCGCAACAATTATTTTGGTTTTAATGAAGCGCCCCGCCGCCAGCAACGCGTGGGTGGAAAGTTTCGGCTCTGCAGCACGACAGAGTGGCCACCCTCTTGGTTAGCGGAGCTTGCGGTAGCAAGAGAGGATGCGTGGCATTGTACCCTTAACAAGGAAACTGGAGATTGAGAAAATTTAAAACGTGGAACTGGCTTAGAGATTGGAAAGTCGAAAACACAGGAAAAGTGATAAAAATGGGGAAATGTACAGATTAGTGAATGGAAGCATCTGTAAATAACCAAAATAAACTCAAAACTAATTACTGTTCAGCAATGATAATAAATTCTCAGAACCATCACAGAACAGGAAAACTGGTTATTAAAACATATTCAGTTATGTTTCTCCTTTGTTTAGCCCTTAGATGTACAAACAATTAATGCTATTTAGGCCTTAGATGCACAAATAACACTAACTTAAATTGTCTACTCAAAAATGCCTTTTGTCTTCTGCTGGCAGGTACTAAACACAGCTCAAGCCATATCTCAAAATGCCCTTCAGAGAATTGAGAAACTCAGGAGTGCTAACACCCTTATGCAAGACCAAGCAATGGGAATCATTGATGAAGTCCATGGGGCAAGACAGGTGCATTAAGGTGTAAACAAGCATGAATATTTATTATGCCCCTCAGTAGTATATTCTGCTGAGAACTTGCCTTATGTATCAATAAAGGATTTGGCTGTGGGGCTGTGTTCTTTATATTACGTATCCGTATGTTCACATTTGAGCATGCAGGTGAAATCCACCACAGCTTTGACTATCCAGAGGTTAAAAAATCGTTGAGGCTTGCCTCAGCTCTGTTTATTTGTCCTGTGGTTGCTGCAGAGAGCTATGATGCTGCAGAGCTTGTCCTTTCCCTGATGAAGTCAGTTGTGAAGAGCGGGAATTCCCTGAACAACAAGCTCATGGTTGATCTGTTTGAGTTTCCCAGATAACGCTTTGCTCCAGCTCCCTCAATGGAAACTGTCATCTTTTGTGTTCAGAAATATTTTAATTGGGCAGAAATTCCCAGATGTGTGTCTCCAGGCATATCTGACACTCCTGTCTCCCTCAGTGACAGCTGTTTGCTTTCCAGCAAGCTGGCTGAAGGGGGCAATTCTTCACATCGATGCTTCAAATGGTCCTTAGCGGGCTCACGACGCTACCTATGTGCTGTGGAAGGTCCTTTTTGCTGACAGGATCCTCTGTGTTTGTGCCAAGGCTCCTGAAGCTCGTTTACATCTCACACCCTCCCTGAGCTTGTAAAAGGCTATAAGCAATTCACTGTCCCTGAACAGAGGGTCCTTATTCTCCAGCTGTCACCCTCATATGGGAGCACCTCTGTCTTGCTGAATCACAGTCCTCCTTTGCTTCTCGCCCCACTTGCACCGCTGAAGGAATGAAACATTTTGAGGCTTCCTCCAATTATGGATGGCTTTCTGTCTTTACTATGAAACATGCTGAAATAAAGCTAAAGGGAACACACCAGCATTATAATCCTCCTGAAGCATTGGCTGCTAGAGCACTTATGCGCTCAACGACACAGCAGATAGCACCGTGCATTTTTCTGCTTAATGCATTGACTCAGTGGTTTTCGATTCAATTAAGTTGTTGTGCTATAACAACGCCCTCAGCTCTCCTCAGAGTGAGGCCTCAATATATTTCATTTGTTTTCTAAGCCGACAAACACCGTGAGGGAGCAACAGCGTGGGGGTGATAGGTGAAGTGCGGGAGGCTTCTCCTTCCTTGTTGGACAGCAGGATGAGAACTTATTTTTATGATTTTTCCCTGGGAAGCTAGTGCTTTGCATTTTCCCTTTTAGTTTGTTAAAAACAAAAGAACAATAGCTATCCTGGTTAGCAGGGCTATTGTCCCTCTGTGCCAAATAAATGAAATCTCCCTGCTTACGTGAGCGTCTGAGACATTTCTCTGCATTCTGCTAGTTCTCCTTTGTGTCACTCTGGTGAGGTTTCTCGCACTTTATCCCCCTTTTCCCAGTCTTTTTCAAACCATTTCTCTCATCTTTCTTTTGTCCTCCATTCATACATGGTTGCTGGTCTGAATTTGAAATGATGTGGTTTGTACTAAAGGCTTTCAAACTGTGTTGAAATCATAACTGTGTCATGATCATGTCAGAACTGTGTTAAAACATTAACCATTAAAACATTCTAACAACACTGAAACCTAGGCATGAATGGTCAGATTATCAGAGACACTTAACAAGAATTGAAATAGCTCTGATGACCTGGGCCAGCTTCTACCTAGTTGAAAAATCTCTATTTGGCAACTTCTGTCTGTCCTTGACTAACTGCCCAGCCACTGCAGCTAAAGGATGCATTAAAAATGCTTTTTTTTTTCTTTTTTTCCCTTAAATTTTAGTGGAAAATAGACTGCACCTGAGTCATTCTCTGGCATCTGCTTAGAATACCAGGATGGGCTTTCTACTTGGAAGCTCCGTTTTCTTGAAGGAAAGCATCTGCTTTCTGCCAGCAGCACTACAGGACAAACAGAATGGTGTTCCTGCCAAAAGCAATACAGCTGGAAAACCCAGGGGTCTGGAGGTTAAAAGCTTTGTTAAATAGAACCAGGTAGAGTAATCGTGACTTTGGGGATATTTTACTGTAATTTTAGAGGCAAACATTTGCAGAAAGAGCTCTCCCCTATGCCACCTGCATGAAG